AACTTTTAGTTTTCGTATAGTCAGTACATACACTTTGGTTTAGAGAAACTTTGTTTTCTTATAGTCAGTACATACACTTTGGTTTAGAGAAACTTTTAGTTTTCGTATAGTCAGTACATACACTTTGGTTTAGAACAACTTTTAGTTTTCGTATAGTCAGTACATACACTTTGGTTTAGAGAAACTTTTAGTTTTCGTATAGTCAGTACATACATTTTAGTTTAGAACAACTTTTAGTTTTCGTATAGTCAGTACATACACTTTAGCTTAGAGAAACTTTGTTTTCTTATAGTCAGTACATATACTTTAGCTTAGAGAAACTTTTAGTTTTCGTATAGTCAGTACATACACTTTGGTTTAGAGAAACTTTTAGTTTTCGTATAGTCAGTACATACTCGTTAGTGTAGAATAACTTTTAGTTTTCTTGTATACACTTTACGACTTAGAACAGCTTCTAAACTGCTTGTAGTGAGTATATACGCTTTACTTTAGAAAAATGTTTAGGTTTCTTTTAGCCTTAAGTTTAAAACAACCTTTAATTTTCATTTAGTCATTATATACTTTACCTTAGGACAACTTAGTTTTTTATGGTTAGTACGAAGACCTTAGATCAACCTTAACAGTTTTCTTATGGTCATTATAAATACGTTACTTGAGAATACCCTGTTATAGCTTGGGGCAGATTAGAAAAAATTACTAACATTTTAAATGTAATCTTTGTTATAGATTTCAAAATCATGAAGCGAGAATAAATATTTTAATTAGTCTTATAACCTCATGATGAACGATCTTGTAAGTTTGAAAAAAAGATCTATTATTTGAAAATAGTTATGTCCAGTTTTATTTATAGTGTTAAGAATTTAACGAGTAAAAGCAACAACGAATATGATTGTAATATATCAACCACACTACATCTGCCATGTCCGGCATTGGGATATGATGGACATATCAGAAGTGTAGGTGCTATTTATATCAATAATTTTCAGGAACAACATCTGTTATGCCGGCTGTGAAGTAGATTTAGTAAGTGAATCACTATTATTTATTTTATTTGTAACACTGAATATTTATTATATTGACATTAAGTTATTGAAAGTTTCGGATGGCATCAAACTCGGACATTTTTACACAGCATACACAGACTCAGTGTAATTATATAATGTACACTTTTCACGATTTCCTGTGGTAATTATGTGAAATAAATTGTGTTAGTTAATATTAGATGCTTGAAAATTATTTTCTTAATTTTTTGAAAGTTAAAAAGTCTGTACCTTTAGAATATAAAGCTTTCACGTTGCTGCAGCCAAACTGAAATAGAAAGTATTGTAACCAAAGACAAATTGTCTCGAGCCTCTGTGTATAGTAAAGTAGAATAAATGCTCCACTGTTTGTGCAGAATGATTTACAGCTGAATCAAATGATTCCGCAAATACGAATAATGTTTTGGAAACGTAATGGTCTAACTCTGAAAACTTTAGATTCGCCTAAATGATGTCCTCTTGGTTATTACTTTCAGTAAGGCGTTGAAATGTCCTCCTATTGATAGCAAAGAATAAATGTGCGTCTCTAGTCGGTTGTCCCAGGTGTCAGTCCTCCTTAGAACTTCATTTCTTCTAATGCGATACTTCTGTCTTCAGTGTGGGTGGGAATAATTTCTCATAGAGAAGACGTCGAAACATGGAGCGGTTAATGCGTAATGTGACACAAGGTGTTCCTAAACAAGGCATTAAGAATGGCGAGTGGCATTTTTCTTTAAAACTATGTAGTTATTCGTGTGGTGTACTTTAGAAAAATTTGAAAATAAACTAGTACAACGTTTTAAGCTTTATCTCTGTTCGAATCTATTTGAACGTTTTTAGTGTAATGTTTGAACAATTTTTTTAATGTGTTAACGTTTTAACAAAGATTGAAAAATGGAGAAATCATAAAATAAAAGTTGAAATAAACTCGTTGAAAATTGTTTATAACTGTAATTATTTTAATAAAAACTTTTTTCTATAGCATACATGATCTTTTGGCCGAAATCAAAACTATTTATTAATATTAATAAACCTTCTTTGTTGAAAAACGGCATATTTTTAAAACCAATTCCATTAATTTATTGTTAATAAATTTAATTAATGTAAAAAAAAATCATTATTTGGTTTACTTCACGGCTGACTCTTTAAATATTTCATTAATCAAATATTTTTCCTGCAACGTGAAATAATTGTATCAGCACTGTAGGCTGGCTCTTCTTCTTACATCAGTTAAACCTTACTTAACTAGATCTTCCTAACATCGAATATACAAATAATAATGATCGATTCTTTCTACTTCCCCCCATGGCACAGCGGTATGTCTGCGGACTTACAATGCTAGAAACCGGGTTTCGATACCCGTAGTGGGCAGAGCACAGATAGCCCATTGTGTAGCTTTGTGCCTAACTACAAACAGACTTCTTTCTACCATTGCCAGGTGTGTTATACGCCTTACTTTAGTGTGAACAGTAAAGTTTTTTGGGAATTTTGTTTTTCCAATGTACAACTTTGACTCAGTTCTGTAGTGTCTTCTGCTACATAAGGCTACACTAAAAGGTGTTGGGCCCGGCATGGCCAGGTGGTTAGGGCGCTCGACTCGCAATCTGCGGGTAGCGGGTTCGATTTCCCGTCACACCAAACATGCTCGCCCTTTCAGCCGTGGGGGCGTTATAATGTGACGATCAATCCCACTATTCGTTGGTAAAAAAGCAGCCCAAGAGTTGGCGGTGGGTGGTGATGACTAGCTGCCTTCCCTCTAGTCTTACACTGCTAAATTAGGAATGGCTAGCGCAGATAGCCCTCGTTTAGCTTTGCGCGAAATTCATATCAAACAAACAAACAAACTAAAAGGTGTCATTGCATAAAATTTTGTTCAAATGTATGTTTGGTTGATTTACAGTGTTTTCTGTTACACATGCTAGTTGACCTTATCAGTATCATACCAGATTTCATGTTCATATGTTGGATGTTCTTGAGTTTGTGTATGAAATGTACGTCCTGATATACACGCAAACTAATTTATAAATTTGGAATCATTCGTTTTATATCCAAACAAATAAAATGTTAGATATTAGCTTTTATTATATTTTCTGTTATAAAAATACTCGATATAAAAAATCACGTATCTTACAGAAGTTTCTTAGGAAGCCCAAAGTTAGCAGTTTCAATTACTTGGAAATTGGATTATTGAATTTTTTTATACCAAAAAAGATGGGACTGAATAAAAAAACAAATTTCATGTTTGTTGCTTTTTTTCATTCGATATTCTGTTTCTTCATAATGTTTTTGCATGATAAATGTTATAGAAGTTCTTTCATTAGTTTGATGATTTCTACAACTGAAGGAATGAAATGTAATTGCTGTCCATTATGAGTTATTTATTTATCTTTTAGGCTGACTCCTTAACCTTTCCACCATCAAGTGTTTCACATTGTGTCTCGAAAGGCAAATCTGAAGTAAGTTATGTTCCCAAGAAATGTATTCAGTATATGAATAGTTTTCTTTCCATCACCATCTTATATTAAAAATAAACTACTGTATAAAACTAATTTAACTATAATTATTTCTAACTAGTGTGTGTGTGTGTATGTAGACTAGATATGGGTTTATAATACTAGTGGTTTACTTAATGTTGTAAACATAATTGTCCTATCAAATTGTTTGTTTTAACATTGATATTTTAATCAAAAACCCATAAAAATGAGTTTAGAACAAATAAATTATTAAAACTTTAAACTTGGAACTATTAGCAGGTATTATTAGAAATACATTTTTGATTTAAGAAAATATTAACTTTCATTTTGTGTATTGAACTGTGATGATCTATTGTGTCCAGTTTGGACTCATTGTTAACTAATTATTCAGCCTTTATTTGTGGATGAAACTCTGATGATCATTGCCTCCAGTCTGAACTCATTGATAACCAGCAATCCTGTTTTCAATTTGTGGATTGATCTGTTGTGTCGAGTCTGAACTCATTGTTAACTAATCATTCTGCCTTTATTTGTGGATGAAACTCTGATGATCATTGCCTCCAGTCTGAACTCATTGATAACCAGCAATCCTGTTTTAAATTTGTGGATTGATCTGTTGTGTCTAGTCTGGACTCATTGTTAACTAATTATTCAGCCTTTATTTGTGGATGAAACTCTGATGATCATTGCCTCCAGTCTGAACTCATTGGTAACCAATAATCCTGTTTTCAATTTGTGGATTGATCTGTTGTGTCCAGTTTGGACTCGTTGTTAACTAATTATTCTTCCTTTATTTACTACGAAAATTCTGATGATTCTTTCCAATGTGAACTCATTGTTAAATGAGAATACTATGAATTAATATTAAAAAATATAAGGAGTGTCTCGCTATTTGAAACAAATATTTACAAAAAGGTATTTCTTCAGACTATTTGATAAACGTATATATAAATCCAAATTTTGTGGAAATGTTTGTCCTGCTTAGTTTCTATTGGTTATCTAAACAAATTGATTTGCATACAAATAGCATATCATTCAAGCTGACATTAAGCATTTAAGTATAAATAAATATTTTCGAATAGCACTATGACTGTAGAAATCACATCAGAGTTATACAACCAGTAGGAGAAGGAGATAAGTTATATGTGTGTGGAACAAATGCTCACAACCCTAAGGACTGGATTATTCATGTAAGTTATATCAGAAACTTAGTAATATTATGTGTGTAAAATAATAACAATTATGTATAAAAAGAGAAGGAATGGTTTTTGTAAAAGTGTTTAATTTGGTATGCTATATTATCATATTATAAAGAAGATAAAAGGCACTTTTGAATAGCTTTAAAGGCTTCAAGTCTAAGAATAGAACAATTTTCATAATTATTATCTTTTAATAGGAATGCTACATTGAGAAGCCATCATATGGCAAATCCTATGCATTTCTTTTCAGTGGATGTCAATATAATGTTGGTCAGGGGGTCACGTGACTATTGTCACGCCGCCTATTTTCTGGAAGTATCTTGTTCCTTCGTGAATGCCCTAGCATTTAATAGATATATGTTTTTCTGGTATATATATAGGACGTGACAACAATGTGTGTATAGGTAATGAGTAATTGAACTGCAGTTAGAGAGACGTATTCGAGCTCGTGAGACGTGAATTATAGTTTGTTATAGCGCGACTGTTGAAGATAAGTGTATCGTAAAGTTATATTCGGAAAGAATAAACCAGTTTTTATTAAGTAAGGACTTGTGTCGCTAAAGTTTCGTCGGAACGAATTTACGGAAAATCAATTAACAAACGGAGACGTAACAAATTGGTGTCAGAGA